CAATCTTTGCAAAAGACTTTCAGAAGACTTTTCTGCAAAGTGCTTCACCATCTAGTGCTCCTTAGTTTATGTCATTCCTGTTCGGACCACTTACATTTACACATGCCTACACAGAGTGAAAACATCAGCTTCGGTGTCAAACTGACCAAAGGTTTATGTCAAGAGTCATCACTGGTGCTGTGTCTCTCTGACCCAAAGCCTGCAGTTCATCTATTTTCTTCATTTTATCCAATTCAGGGTCATGGCAGGGCTGGGGCCCATCCCAGCTGTCAGAGGACGAGAGGCAGGGTACAGCCTGTACAGTCTCCAGTGTGTCACAAGGTTAACGCAGAGATGCTCACATTCACACCTACAGCCAACCTAACATGCATGTAATTGGACCGTGGGAGAAAGCCAGAGTACCTGTTAGTGACAAAGTAAGCATATGGCTATCTTTTGGTTAAAACATTTAGTAAATTATCAATTACTAAACACAATTTACAATGGTGAAACAGCGCAGTGACCACCAGGAATAGACTCTCAGATAACGTTTCAACACTGAATAACTGTTGGCTGCTCATCTTTTCATGACATCTAGTGTTGTTTAAAAAATACTTCCAAAATAAAAGTAAAAGTTGTGTCAGTATCGTAGACGCAAGTTTGCCATCAGTTCAAAATAGTTCTGAAAGTACCTCAACACTCTTGACAAACTTTCTAACAAGCTAACGTTTGTGTTCAAGGATTCTTTTATAATAAATTTTTACTGATTACGGTGGCAGAAAGGAATATCTAAAAATATCTAAAACAGTGTATAAACGTTTATGGTAACCTTTCATCCCGATGACCTAAGTGACTACATACCAATAATAATAAATTCATCATGATAGTTCAGATATGTTAAGTTCACCATGGGAAAATATGCTTCTATTTTCTTTATCACAATAACTAATCGGTAGTTCTTCCTCTATCTGACTGGACCACTACAGTACTGGAAACTGAGTTATTATCGCAGCATATAGAGCTCAGTTTTGCCCGACATACAGCAGCCCGGTTTGATCGTGTGAGATAATGATGCTGGGCTGCAGTTGAATGCAAAAGGCAAAACTGCAAAAGATTTAAAAAATGAAAAAAACATAACAAACCCTTGTTGGTTTAAATAAAGGTTTGAACACACATGCAGCAGTTTTGACTTGTTATTTAATCATCTCAGCCACAGCACTGAATTATTGAAGGTGATTATGTCCTGTGTAAATCACTGCTTGGAAGGATGACCCTGTCTCTATATTCTCATGTAGCTCACAGATGTGGACACAAGCATGTCGTATTCTTGAGCCACAGCCATTCTATGTAAAGTGTTGGGGGATAACTAGCAAATTTGGATCTTTCTTTATTGTTTTTTATCTACTGTGTTTGTGTTTGCTGCTTGACATGTATGTCTTTAAAAAACAGAAAAGTTTAAAAGGTTTTTTGTTTTTCTTGGTTTTTAAATCAAATGTATCTAGGATTATTTCTTCAACTTGCAGTGACTGAAGACATGACACAAGGCCCAACATTAGCTGATTTTACCTTACTGTGGATGAATGCAGGTTTTAAAAAAGAATAATGCAAACTAACATAAAGGGATCACAAAGTTAATTGTGACTCGTATTATTTTTAAATGGCACTTTTCACGTTACAAAACACTGTTGAATGATTGGTTTCTGTTCATTTTATCACACCAAGAATTCAATTCCACCAATATTGAGCAACAACTGGTTTGGGTAACAGCTGACTGGCGCCTAATTGCCCAGATTTCCATCTATGTCAAACACACTGATTGATGCCTTAGCTTCCTTAGCAGCTACTCTGCCCCTGTGGATTCTAATTAAAACACGTCTGGAAGAAATGCTTGATTAGTTTTTGCCCTTTTTTTAAATAAAGCAACAACTTTACCACCTGCAGCTAATCTGACTTCTCAAAAGATACCTTGATTCATCCGGATTTTCTTTAATTACATTTATTGTCATTGAGTCTAACAAACCTAAAGCCAGTCTAAGCCTTTTTTTTTTAACCTGCTGTTGCATAGCTCCACTTCTACTTAAAAACCTCTGCTTACGTCTGTAAGTGAGAAACAACCTTAAAAACGTCAGTGCAGGGGTTTAGCAAATCGAGTCAAGTCATTACAGAGTGAGGTGAACTGGCAGATGGCCAACACCCCTGAGTAACAATTGCAAATCAATTAATATCCCCTAACGGATGTATCATGCCTCTAGCACAATGCCCACAGGGAAAATCAACTTGCTGATTACACAGCTAAAAACTGCTGCTGTAATAAGTGTGCATGCCTCTGTGTGTGAATACTTGTGCGCGTGTGCATCTCTACAATAACTAGAGATTCCACGGGTGTTTGTTTGTTTCCCAGCCCCGTCGGTCACACGTGCATTGCAGCAACAGGTCTGTATGTGCCTCAGTGCGAGAGTGCACTTTCACAACTCACTCAAAAGAGTCCTTAAAACTGAGATTATGCAGTAAAGATGATCATCAACTCTGAATTACAGGGTAGATCTAAAGATGCACGCTAATCGATGAAGGAAGGAGAATGTCAGATCTGGTGTTAGATGTCAGGAACTGTAAACTAAAGTTTCACATATCGACTGGTCTGAGACTTGTCTTTTCTTTCAGGTCCATCGATAAAGAGAAGAGAGGTCAGGGTTGGATGGAGAGGAGGGGCAGGAAGGGCTTAACTGTGGTTATTATTAAAACCGAACTGCTGTAACTTAGCCAAAGCATGATGTCTGTTATAGCTACACTGCATGAGGCTGCTGTCATCTTTCATGTGTGGAAAACTCGTTAAGTGGCCCCTAAAATATATCCACCTCCCTCCCCTCCACTTAACCCTTCTTAACACATGAAAACTACAGATAAATATAGCACATAATTTAATGTGGTTTCTATGACTTTGACCCATACATGCAAATGATTCATTCACCATTAAAACAAACAAACAAAAAACAAATGACTAGAGTAGAGCAGGATATAAAGAATGCTATCTCAGCGTCGATGTCTTTGTAATTCTTTAATAGCTGTCATGTAGCTGTCAATAGACCAATGAAGAATGAACTGTCCGTGGTGCTGAAACCACCACCCACATGTGCAGCCTGAGATAAGAATGCTAAATCCAAAAATAACAGGGCCCAAAAATTCACTTAGGTTTCTCTAATAGAGTTTAAAAGTCTTAATCTGACTCTTTTTAAAATGTTTGAACCTGAAAAGGTTGTTACAAGGTTTAACTTCACTTTTACAAGTGAAGTCATAAATCAATCTCCATCAGAAAAAGCTGACATGACTGTTAAACTGTGCTGTATCCATGTGCTGTTGACTTGTCCTAAAGTAAAATACATTTTGCAGAGTTCGCATGCTACACTTTTAGACAGCATTATGCACAGTGACCCACAAGATAACAAGTGACGCCTAATCGTGAAAAGAATCACATGTGTTAAACAGCAGTTTTCTTGATCTGCTTACTCTCACTTACACCCCATGGTGGTGATGGTATCCATTACTTGTTTGGATATCGTTTAAAGGGGACCCAAAAAAAAAACTTTTCCGTTGATAATAATGGATTAAGAGGACATTGTGGCAATCAGGGCAACACTTGTCTTACAGACTGAACACACACCTGAACACACACATCATCGTGCTGTTCTGACTGTCATCAAACTAGCTTCTCAGGCTCCTGGGTAACATCCACCCTGTGGTGAGTTCCTCCTTGAAACAAACTGTTGGTGAAGGTGGCTCGCTGCGACACAGATGCACGCACGGATACACTTACATAGGCTACATACATACACACACACACAAACACACACACACACACACACATACACCGCCACCCCTCTCCTCATCCCCTGTTGCTATGGAACCTGTCGCCAAGGAAGAGGTATGTGGTTGTGCTGGAGGTGGTGGATGAAGTCGACGACGACCACGATGATGATGATGGTCAGGAGGGTGATAATAGTGATCGGATAAATAAGGGTTAGCTGAATTGTATGGGTCGGCTGGCCATAGGCGAATGCATTGCTGGGCTTTGCTCTCTGCAACGTGGGTGGAAGGAGCGACGCGTAATACTGCGCAATGCAAACAGAGCCTTTCCACAGTACAACAGAGCACGGCACAGGATTTCAATCCACTCTTTGCCCGCGGATTCCCTTAAACACTTGAAAACTCCTTAAGGTTGAACTTTGGGTCGTGTTTTGTGCAAAACAATCTACTGTCCTCGCTGCCATCCCAAAAATAGCACACCATCAACCCAATTCTCAGCAGACAAATAAGTCCTACAGGCCCTCCTACTGCCACCTGTCATCTCTGCGATTTTCTCTCGTGCTGCCATCAAGGAGCCCTAAGAAGACTGAAAACTTGCTTTTAAAATGTGAAAAATAAAACTAGTGATTAGAAGAAAGGGGATCGATAGTGGTCGAGCTCGTTGGCAAGCGCCTTACGCCGGGTTGTGAAGTATCGTCAACATTCTGTATCTGCAGTTTAGTGTAGTTGTGCAAAATGCTGTCAGATGTTTCTTGAACAATAATATACACCGCCTACAACTGCCTGTTGGCTAAATATGACCACTGCCCACCCATTGTGCCACAGAGCTCACAGAGTTCCGGCTTGTCAAACCGACAATTGTGGACGAAATCAAGCAAGGAAAAAAGGCCTCATCCGTATCTGTTCGCGGCTACCTGCAGCCTTCTGTTGCGTGATCATGGCACAAGTTCACTTGCTGCACAAAGTGCTGTGGGCCTGCGGGGAAAGATCAAATACACAAACTGCACACACAGAGGGGAAGTGGAGAAAAGAGAGCTGCATCTGTCCATCTGTTGAAAATGAGTGAAGAGCTACCACCCCCTTTTCCCCCTCCTTCCCTCCACCTCCTCCTTTCCCCATCCCATCCCCATTTCGAGACCACATCATAGGCTACCTACTCCCTCCCTCCCTCATGCACAGTTAGATGTTTGTTAGTTACAAATAAAAAAGGCACCACATACCTTGATGGTTCTCAAGGGTGTCCTCCGGGATGTACATGTTTTTGCTTTCATTTACCATAAATGTAGTCCGGCGTTATCCCTATAGGTAAATGGAAGAGAGAGAGGGGGAAAAGCTGGAGAGGAAAATAACAAGAGGGGGGGAAAGCCCCCAAAAAATAAAGAAATTAAAGAAGAGGGGAGGAAAGAAGAAATAACTGTCTGACACGGACAGTTTTGGGTATTCCGTTGTTTTTGTTTATGGGGAGGGTTTCTTCCGATGGAGTGAATATTACCTAATCCCCATGATGGAGGTGAAGGCGAGAAAAAAGAGGGAGCTTTCGGCGGAACCGGCTGGGAAAACGCACCGGTGCATCCCTCGGTACATCCGGGCCCTAGGCAAGAAACATGAGACCAGCACCGCGTTCAATTCAATTCACACCTCTCTCTCTCTCTTTCTCTTTCTTCCTCCCCTCTCTCGTGTTTTTAATAAATGTATACAAAAAAGAAAGAAAGAAAGCAATTGAAAATGTTATAAAAAACGGGCGCTGTCAGTGACGGTCGCAATGGAAGTGCGCAAAAGACGCATTCGGGCGCATCTTCAACAGCGTGTCAAAATGTGAGAGAATGAAGCACGGGAGGTGGAAGTGATGGATGAAGAAAAGGAGGAGGAAGAGAAGAGGAGAAAAATTAGAAAATGAGAAGAGCGTAAATATTCCATCACGGGAAGCACGGGGTTAAATCTCCCAAAAGGTTGTCGGTTATTCCACGAATCTTTAGCAGAGTCCCCCCAAAAAACAGAAGCCAGGCCGTCCTGTCTCATCCGGAGGCGGGTTTCTCTGTCTTGATCCAGTCCATGATGGTCCGGCAGTGTGTCTGTCAGTCAGTCTGTGTGCCTGTCTGCCTGTGTCTTACTGATTGGGAGTTAGAACTCTCTCTTCTCTCTGCCTCTGCTGCCTCTGCGGCTCAGCTCTGCAGTGATACCGAGAGAGAGTGAGAAAGAGAGCGAGAGAAAGAGAGAGAGCGAGAGGTAGCCCCCCTCCCAGTGCATGTAGACGCTTTGACTGTTTCCAGATGTGTGTGTGCCTGTGTGTGTGTGCCAGAGAGAGAGAGAGGAGAGAGCGAAAGAAGGAGGGAGACTGTATATGCAATAGTGTGGAACTGGCGGCTGGTATCCAGATGAGGATGAGGATGGTGAGGAGGAAGACAAAGATGATGATGATGAAGTGTGTGGGTGGTGAAAGGAGAGGAGGGCCCACAAAATGCAAAATATTTGGGAACAGAGGGCTCGATGAAAGAAAGGTGCTGAAACCTGTGAGAGTGTGTGTTGCAGACAGGAAGAGAGGGAGAGAGCACAGGGAAGAAGAAGGGGAAAGTGTGCCTGCGTGTGTGTGAGAGAAGGGAAATAAAGCGGGATAATGATCCATGGCAGGCTTGAGCCCTACAAAGACTTTCATTTCTGCAGGAACAAACAGAGATCCGAGAAGTTATGTGTACATCTGATTTGTCCGTAGTGCCCACACATCTGGACTGTTTCAACCCCATTCTTTTCTTTGGCTAACGTTGTGTTTACACACACACCAAATATCTGGTTTTTCCAACTCTTTTATGACTCAAGCTCTGATCTTTTCATGGCTCTCTTAAGCAGGAAGAAACCGCAGGGAAGTTGATTTGTTAGATCCTCAGATGCTGTGTAAATGCAAACTCAAATCTCATAAAGTAGACGGGCTCAGGAAGGTCAATGCTCAAGGACTGACTGTGAACCTTTTTATCTAGAGGGCAATAAAACGATTTTGGGGGGGAATGTAATTATGTTTCTCTCTCGTTCTCTTTCTTTCTCTGTCTCTCTCTCGCTCTCCTTTGCTATCAGGACAGTGAAGCAGGCTTTGACATTGTGCTCCATGGCCAGAAACAAATTTGTCCTGGCCCCTGAGGCACGCAAAGCCATTTTCTGGAGACATGGGCTCACTTTCTTAGGTAACACAACAAAGAATTGAAGCTCATTTGAGAGTAAAATGTCAAACAAAGTCAACAACATCAGCTCTTAACTAAATAGCTTCTGACCAGGCTTCCATGGCACAGAGTCAGCTTCGCTTATAGCTCACAGAGGCTTTGGGATAGAGCTTCTTGCGCAAATAACATGTCAGTTCTTAAATTGAGCTGGCTTCTTAAAAGCTGTCCACAGGCAGCTTGATATAAAAAAGATAAAACAAGCTATCTCAGGCTTATAAAGAACCTTGAGTGCCTTTATTTAGCGAATAAATTCAGAAGACAAAAAACTGCATCTGAACATTTCAAATTAGAGGATGATAATTAGACATCAAATGTGCACGAAGGCCTTATAGAGACCTCCACAAACATAATACTTAGGTTCAATAATACATCAGAAAGTACTGAAGGTACTCTTGATTCTATTCATGGCACTGGCCAGCCCATGTAATTGTTTCTTGACACTGAATACAAACTTCACAATGTGCAGGCCTCATGTCATTCTCACTGCAGGCTATAATCAGGAGGTGAATCTGATGACTCAACCCAGCCTGTATTCATTTGTTCAGTGCCATAGCGCAAAATCACCACCCACCCATTCTGTAATAGAATAAAGCTTTTTGTCTACATGTGTCACTGCAGACATAGTAAAGACAGGGAGAAGAGTGATAAACGATTCTATTGATGACATCTGACAACTGAATTGTGTTTTTTAGAGGAATATATAGTGTTTTGTGAATCATATGTTATATTAATATACTGTATTTTGACGGAAATTGCAGACTGTTGAATGCCTGCGCTGGTGAATGAAATGAAATAATACCAGAATTTATTACAGAGGTTATTATAAAATAGCATCTCAGCAGTGAGTAAGAACTTTGTCTGCAGAAAATATATGCCTCAGTTGACTACAATATCACCATATTATTCAAAAGTTAATACTTATGTTTAAGTAGAAATTTAGAATTTTAACAATGAAGCTGGTCAAGGTGGTGTGATTGGGTGGTTGCTCCTAGCCAACAGGCCAGCAACAGGGCCTCTCTAAAGGGTCACATGATAAAGATGCGATTCTAACTACTTTCACAGCTTTTTAAATGTATTTATTTATGTCTGTTGAGAGTTAGCAGGCTAGAAAGTTGTATTTATACCAGTTTATCCTATTCCTATTATTTAAATATAACATAAATGTCAAATAAACGTTATGGAGAAAAATATCTGCCTCTGAAATTCTCAAGAAGGTAGAAATCACTACAAAACAGCAAATTCCCACTGCTGTAGATGGCTGCTTGAACATTACTGCACTGGTTGTGTCACAGATGGACTGTGAGATGCATCTTATTCTTCATTTTTGAGCCAGACCAGCTTCTGTTTGATTATGCTGGCCAGTGAATGGAAGACGGGAGGAAGGGAATGAGTGAGAGAAGGAAGAACGGATGGAGGGCAGGTCGTGGGAACAGACAATTCTGCCCAGGGGACGCACAAACACACATACACAAATGTCCTCAGTAATGCAGCCTGCACATGGAATACCAGTTCTATTTATGACTGTTCTATATTTGTGGGCCCAGGCCCTTTGTATGTGCAAATGTGTGTGCGAGTCTAAAGCCCAGTTGGTCTCTGGGAATCTCTGTACAGGCAAACATTCAAACGCTAGTATCCCATGTGGGAAACCAACAACCTGCTGGTCAGTCAAAGGGGAATCCTCTGGTGAACAGAGAAAGATGCAAAACTTTGGATGAAAGTTTTTATTTTTATTACCAATCAAAGAGAAAAAATGTGTACTTTTAACATTGCCCCTTAAAAACAGAAAAAAAAGCATCTGGTTTATTATCTCTTAATAACATTAATTTTTTTTTATCTTAAAAAGAAAGAAAAGAAAATGGATACTGAGCTTGAGAGTCCCTTTCAGATAAACACAAACATTGGCCCCCTTTTCACTCATTTGTAGTCCATTCTTTGTACCAGACCATTTTCAGAGGAGTTGGGTTTTTTTTTTTGTTTGTTTAGTTTAAGTCACTTAAAGTTGACCTATGAATCATTCACGCAAAACTTAGAAAAAAGAAAAAAAACCATGCACCAAACTCAAGAGATGATCCAGTGCTGTGTTTACACATTCAGACCCCAAAGATAACAAGGCATAAAATAACCACTCTTTTTTTTACCAACAAGGTGATTCCCAAGAGTTGTTAGCTAAACATTTGGTATATCCCAGTATGGTCTTTAACAAATATGTGGAAACAGGACACACAGAGGACACAACAAGTGGAAAAGCTAAAAATTATTTAAAAATGTATCTGAAAGTCATGTAAAAGAAAGAAATAGGGGGGGGGGGAAATCTGACACAAGACATGAAAGATGAAGAGCAACTTCGGGTTCTGTATCTTGCCCAAGGATATTTTGGCATGCAGACTGGAGAGACTAGTAGTATGACCTGCTCTGCCACTAAAGTATACCTGGACAGAAAAACAAGATGAAACACAATTAACACAGTCATGGACAAGTGCCCCAGAGCCTAGACTTCAACATTACTGAAGCATTGTGGGATCATCTGGACAAAAAACAAGAAGAAAACCAGCATGCCTAAGAAAGTTCAGGCTGTACTGGAGAATAAAGGTGCTCAAACACTTCCTTTAAAACTCATTTGAATTGTTCACACTGTTATTGCCGTACATACTATATTGCTATGTAAGTTTGCACATGTTTCAGTAAATCACTGCATTAATTTTCATAGAAAAATATAAATAAATGAGTGGTGATTCAAGACTTTTGCATGGTACTGTATAAACTCAAGTTTTTATATTTAAAGTCTAATGAGGACCTAGAAGAAAAATGTAATGTCTACCAGTATCTACATGTATGGCTGAAGATAGTCCCAGATTGAGCAATGTAGGAAGGCTCATTCAGTCATTGTGGTCATTATCTCACCTACAAAGATATTCCCTTAAAGTAATAAAAGATACAGTCACATGACAAAGAACGTTTTCACTGGACTCTATGCAGACTTGTGAAAAACAAAGTACACTCTCATCTTGATGCATTCTCAATCATCCAGGTAAGTAAATCTCCAAAGGTTGATTCTGTTCATCTGGACGTAGCATTTTCATCAAAGTGACTTCTTCAGTCTCAGCTGGCTGCAGGTTTCCCCACTGCTTTCACGGGAATCAAGAAGATAAGTA